GAAAGGCTTCATTGAAAGGAACAAGTTAAGGATGATAAAATAGAAGAGAATGATTTTTGCATGAAATGTCTGAGGAGATATTTGTATCCAGAATAGAAGTAGAGAAGTCATTTTAAGGAAGAAGAAAACCTTTCTCTGAGGTTATACTCAGAGTATACATTTATTTACAGAGTATTTATTTACAGCATGAATTCACATATTCTGTTTTCCTTGACTGCATTATCATCTATCACAATTACACACCATTTATTTATTGCTTTACCACCGGCTGGCAGCTTTTTCATCTTCTCCTTCCACTGCTGACATTCTATGGAACTTAATGATGTGCGAACACCCAAGCTCATAGTACCTCATCTCTATTGCTCCAGGGACCTCCCTAGCATCACCTTCGCTTAATGTATAGAGCTGTGTGGGTCACTCATACCAGCTGGACCTTCTCTCTCTACTCCTACCCTGGTCTACTCTTGACTTCCCACTATTCCACCACGAGCTTGCAGGCCTTACCACCTGATTGGTAACTCAAAGTTAACCCATTACAACTGCGAACTTTGATCTACAACCTTTTGTTCCTTTTGGTATGTATTTTCTTTTTATTTTCTTTACTACCTGTACATTGCCGAGCATTATTATACAATGTCATATAAAATTCCTGGTTAGATTCTAGAAATCCACCGCGGCTAGTCTCATGTTGCTTGAAAATTCTTTGATTCATTATTGTGGGAAATACTGACTACAATAGCGTTGGCAAAACTTAACCTATTCACTTAAAGCTGATAACCTTAGAAATATAGACTAGCAGTTGTGACTTTCTTCACTTTCATCAATTTAACCTCTAAAATACATTTGATCTCCACATTCTATCTCTTCTTTCACTCCATCTCCGAAGGGGAAAAGAACTAGCACCCACCTCATTTAATCCTCCCAATTAACTAAAATGATACAGGCATTTGAGACCAAGAAGTTTAGAAATACCTCAGAGGCAAAGGTAAAAATAATAAATGTCTAAGTGGGGACTCCAAACTGTAGTGGACATCATCAGTACTCCATATAAACAACCTCAGATGCTGTTTACCATTTCTGAGCTCTCAAATGACCTTTGTCCCTAACAGCTCACAAAGACAACTTTCTTTGGAGGATTATCTTTGGGCCACTTGAATCTCTTCTCCCACAAGTGCTGACAGTCAGAAATGTTGAGAGCATCTGTTTTCCCAGAGTGGCCCTTATCCACTGGCTGACTACTTGGGAGTCCGAATACCAAGTTCCATCACTGTGAGGTAAAGTTTAGACTCTAGAGTCCCTCCAGGAATCAGTCTGAGGCCAAGATTATGTTCAAAATTAAATATTTGCTTGATCTCTTTCTTCCCCTTTTCGACTGACGACGCTTCTTTCAGGTCCTGAGTTGACTTTCCATTCTAGAATTTCTTTCTGGGATACCCAATGTAAGATACAAATCTTGCCTCCCTGCTTTCTGTCTTGATTCCTCCTGCTCTGCCCCATTGTTTCTTCCTTGTCAAGGCTCCTCCTATGCTCCCTGGAATTTGTCTCCCCTTTACAATCATTTCCATCCTCTTTCTTCCAACTAGTTTATTTCCCCTTTGCCTATGAATATGTGCAATATCCCCATATTAAGAAAAACCTTATACCCTATAATCTCCTCAACTTATCTTCTATTTCTTCTCTTTCCCTTCATCACCCAATTTCCATCAGTTTATTCTGTATCTGCTAGCTCCACTTTCTAATCATTCTTTTGTCTACTCTTTATATTTGGCTTCTATCCTTACTCATCTTCTGAAGCTGATAAAGATATGCAATACCATCCTCATCACCAGTTACGTGTTCTGTTCTCTGCTTTTTCTCTCACCTGACCTCTTTATTGCTGGCACACTGTTCCTTAAACTCTCTTCCCTTGACTTTTACAGTTCAGTAATTTCCAAAGACTCAAAATGGCTGTTTGTGTTTGTTTGTTGTTGTTGTTGTTCTTTTTCTCTCTCTCCTAATCATTTTATCCCCTATCTGTAAGCATTCTTCATTTTTGTTACTAAACTTCTTTTTTGGGCACTCTTTCTTGGGTAACCTCATACACTATCACAGTTTATTACAGAGCCTGAACTCTGTTGGAATAAGTAAGAAATGACTTTATATTTATCCAACTACTGATTCCATGTATGCTCTACTGAGTATTTCCTCTCCAAACTTTGCTGTCTCAGAAAGATCTCATAACTTCCCAGCCAATTACCATTAAGTGAGCAGTATCATGCAGTTAAGATTAATGTTAGAGCACATTCTCTTCCCTCTCTCCAAATTTGATCTGACTCCCTTTGGCATTGGGATTTGCAGTGAAAAAGGTATAGAATATTTTTTTCATTTACTGCTATTTTCTCTTTATTTTAGCCTCCCTCTTACATATTTGTCTCTAGCTCTCTTTATTACTTGGCTTGAGGGCAGGGAAAGAACCCTTTTGTCTAATCCACAGGGATGATAAATTACCATTCTTAAGGATGCTTTACGTTTAAGAATGTTACAACTTCAATAAACTCTCATCACACCTCTGATCTTAGCTTCTATGTTTTGTTTGAGACCAAGGGAAGGCTGAGGTGAGAGGGTCCAGGACTGGTTTGGAGTTCACTTGGTAAACTGGAGAAGGCATGACTCCGACATTTTTTTTTAAATATATAGGGAGTCCTACCAACTATTAAATGGACCCAAGTTTTCTTCCAGCCACATCACTTACTCTTCCCTATGTGTAACTCATGTACCTATACTCCTGCTGATGGTTTTTGCTTTGCCACTACCAAATATTTAATTATTCTATTTCTTCTTCATGCAATATATACCTACCCCATCTCAGAAGCCTCCTTTTCCTTCTAACCTCCTCCATAAAACTTCTACTAGTCACTATTATTGCTGCTACCACCCTCATTTTTACTACCTGCTCTAATTATATGCTATCATTTTTGCATTAAACCCAAGATAATTTTACAGTGATCTTATGAAACTTATTACTTCAACATGACATTTGGATATGAGCTTTAAATTTGAGTTTGACAAATTTTTTATTGTGCCTGAAAATAAGTCTTTACAAAGTGACGCTATTCCTTTAACTGAAATGTGTACTTGTTTAAATTTTCAGTTTAAACAGAAAACTCATTGTGAATAGAGGCAGCATCTTATTCATGCCAGCATACTTCACAGTGTCTACAAGTGTCTTTCATATGTACTAGTATGTTGTCAAGATGTATTGAATTGAAGGCTGAGGATGACATGGATGGATGCTGACATGTCCTGGCACACAGTGCCTAGCACTCAATAAATGTTCATTGAATAAATTGATAAAAACTAGAGTATATGAAGATTCTTTTGCCTAATGCTCTCAATCAAGCTAAAGACAAGTAGGTATAGTCATATGCTAAGATGGATGTGGAGAGATAAGAGGTACTTAAGAAAAAGAAGCTCTGGAATATCAACTTAAGGGTCTACAATAGGTTTGAATAAAAAATGAAAGGAAATTCACAGATTGACATGTAGCAGCAAGAGGCTTGTTAAATTGAGCTGTATGAATCTGTAATAGGGCAGACACAAGGAGTTCTATACAATATAAATCGACTTATTGCAACTATGAAGCAAAGAAATTCTTTATTAGAAACAAACTAAACATCCATTTCCAGTGTATCTATGGGATTGCATAGCTTTCAAACTATGTTCCTTCTTGCCTTAGAATAATGATTCACAGTCAAGCAATTGGTCAAATTTTATCTTTTAAGGCTATAATAATTTATTACAGCCAGGCACGGTGACTCATGCCTGTAATCCTAACACTGTGATTGCACCACTGCACTCCAGCCTAGGCAACAGAATGCCAGTCTGTCTCAAAAACAGACAAACAAAAACACATATAGCTACCAGGTAAATGAATAAATATTAGTACAAATAATGTATAAAATAAAAATACTAGGTGCTATGGGTCCATACAACAATCTAAACTATTTTCAAAGCCAAGTAAGGTCAAATAAAATTTAACAACATAAAAATAGAAGAAGAGCATTGCAGGTAAAAGGGAGAGGTTAGCAAAGGCTGGAAGTGGAATAGAATAAGAAATATTTTTAAAAATTAAGAGAAGACAAACAGAGACTGAGAAAGGAAAAAGACAGTAACAGGAGTTTCAGACTAAAAATTATTAGAGTCTAATTAAGAAGGATCATAACAGAGGCTTTGGACTTTACACATAAAGCAATAAAAATTCCTTGAAAGACTTTAAATAAGCAGATGTATATTTAAAAAAAAATCACTCTAGGCTTTGGTGAGTTTAGGAGACAGACTATGATGTTATGGAGTATATAAGATAATATCAAATTTAATTAGGGTAAAGATAAAGATAAAGAGTGGTGGATTGAAAATAGACTTATTTAGAAGAAAAACCAAGCCTAACTTGGTGGCAGATTAAATTTATTTCAGTTTTATATATGTATAGTTTTATATATGTACATTTCATCCAAATGAAAATGTCAAAACAGATAGTTATACTTATTTAGAACTCAAAAAAAAAAAAAAAAAAGAAGAAGAAGAAGAAGAAAAAAGGAGAAGAAAAAAATGTTTGAGATGAACATGTTTGACAACCACAGACATATAAATAAACACGGAAATTTTAGAAATATTAGAGAGCAAGAAGGGCTAGCAAATGGCTATTTTACTCATTCAATACATAACTGAACACCTAATTATGTAAACAATTCTAGGGAAGAGCTTTAAATTGGGAATCTAGAATCATGTTGGTGCCTTTATTTGGATTTACACACACATAAAAGAAATCTATAATAAATGTGACTTCATCAAATATGCACTAAATTATATGAACAAAGTGAATATAAACATTTTTTCTGCTTAGGTAAAATATTCTTGATTTTGTCTCAGACATTACAGCTAACAGTAATTAATTTTTTTTTTCAATAAAATTTAGGAAACTCACTTAAAACTTGTAAGATATATGTAAATCTTAAAATTACCCTTTCTCTGGGTGCACAGCTATAGATCTTGGTTGATCCAGGCCTTGGGAAATAATTACATAACGGAAAGAACCATTGAGTCTTGCAACTTCAATTAAGTTGAAACCATGATCTGTCCAATATATGTTACCTAGGAGAAATAATAGAGGTGTTTATAATACAGTTTTGAGAAAAAAAAAAAAAATGTACTTGTTATGACTAAAATTAAATTTCTGAGCATTCACATAACTACCAAGAAACTGTTTACTTCCTACATTCTTTTTAAAAGTGTTTCCTAAGCAGAAAGCTGTAAATAAACTAATATGCAAATACTTTCAATCCTAATCTCACACATCTCTGGTTTAAACCATATAATGACATATTTACATAGTAAAAAGAAGTTGAAACTTCTCCTACCTAAAGAAAAGACCTATTTTAACTTTCTACTGACTTCAGGCAAAAGAGAACTTCTAACATTTTTGTTTACCTGCCTTATGGAGCTCTCAGGAGATTTGGGCAAAGTTAACACTACATAATCTACTTCTACATAAAAACCCTTATCCAAAGGCTCAAAAGCATTAGAAGGAGCGAAGCCAAAAGCAAAAGAAACTATTTACCCCTGTGGCTGGAAGTACAAAAAAAACAAAAAACAAAAAACAAAAAAAAAACACTGTTATGAGTTAGAAAATATTTTTTATGAATCATTTTGAGCCCCTAACAAAATAGGTGTGAAACAAAAAGATAAAAAGCCATGGATTATACCAGCAATCCAGTCAATAGCTATCCCTTCCACTCTTCCCAAGCCATTGGTAATGATATCTTCTTTCCAAGTCTGATCTCTTTTAGCTCGGCTAATTTTATTGAAGCCCATGTCTGTCCAGTAGATGGTATCATTTTCTATGGATAAGACACAGAAAAAAAATACATATATACACACTATAAAAGGTATCAATATAGGTGTTAGGATCATATTGTAACTGTATCTTTTAGGATATCATCCTGGGTACACTAGATTTTAAGTATTCTTCAGGGTAATTTACTAATACAAATAGTTAAAAAAAAAGAAAAGCATGAAAACATGAAAGAACCTATATTTCAGTCAAATGATTTTTGAAGTATTTTTTGAAAATTATGGAAATAATCTATTGCATTGTTTATTAGTTTTTATTAATTTCTCTACTTATCTTAACTCAATAAATCCTTATCCTGCATGAATTTGCAACTTTGATTCCAAACCATGTTATTTTGGACCACAATTTTTCTCTTCATGCTATACCTGTGTCTGAATCTTCTTTTAAAAATAATACTACTAGGGATAATCAACTCCACAAAACCTCAAAGTAGAGAGAAGATAGAAAGAAACATACGAGTATTTCAATTATATCTAGAGTGCTTTAAGCGTAAGGCCACTCAGAATGTACAAAGTATTTAAAATGCCTTACAATCCAATTATTCCTTCTAAGGTATGAGTTTCTCAAATGTCAGCTACAAGACCCTTACATTATTTTTCAAACTCTCATTGTCCAAATGAGCTTAAGAATACTAGAAGATTGTTCTGTGTGATCACAGAGTCTTTAAATAAGAGTACTTTTTGAATACTTGAATGAAAAATGTGTCTAAAGACTATAAATGAAATATATGTGCATGCATATGCATAAAAGGTAGTAATTATAGACCAATGATTTTAAACACAGCCACCAGAAAGACACTGGGGACGAATCATTAAATAATAAATTTGCCAGCAACTAAGTAAGTTTTTGTGTTGCGACCTACATGGCCATTTGAAGAACAAATCCTTTAAGACCAATAAAATTTCCCTCTGGCACACTGACAGACTATGGAAATAAAGCAAATGCAATTAGTATAATAAAGCCATTTATCAGCAAGCTTTGAGGTTCTGTTTCAAATGAAATATAGTCTTTACTTTTACCAGTTCAGGAAAAGAGTGCAAATAGTCCTTGTTCTCCACAATGGTTAAGTCAGACACATCAGAGATACCCTATCCAAATATATGTCTGGGAAGCAAGGATTTGTTGGATTTTCTCGTTTTGTAAAAGCATCAATTAACATTTTTTTCATTATTGAACCAGGAAATGAATCAACAGAAATAAGTCTTATTTTTGCGTAAATATTAAGCATTGCATGTTGAATCTAATTTTTTTCCCTAAACATTAGACCTGTATGTCCAACTGTCTCCTTTGTTTCTCTGCTTGTTTGTAGATAAGGCACTCTTGATGTACAATGGACAAATTCTGAATGAAACATGCTTCTCTTGAAGTCTTCAGACTGACAACTCCCCTTTCCATGGTGGTGTGATAGTTGGCACCTCCATCCTCTGTTTGTTAGACTAAAAACATCGGGATTGTCCTGATTATGTTTGCACATGCACCACTTCCAATCAATCACCAGATACTCTCACATTTAATCCATTACCAAGTATTTTTGTTCACTTTTTTCTTCTTTCAAAACATATCCATTATCCAACCACCTCACACCATCTACTACTTACGTTGTAACCAAACCAATAACCACTATCACCTGAAGTCTTTAAACAACCTTCTAATTGATTGCTTAGCTACCACTTTTGCTCCTGTACTTCCCTTTCCATATGAGTCTTGCTTTGCCATTTAGAAAAGTATAGCTGCAGATACACTTTTAAAATATAAATAAGTTAGAATGGAGACATTTCCACAAGAAAAAAATGTAAATAAGAATTTCTCTTCGCTGTTGCACACCAAACTCTCTAGTCACTTCCCGTCTCATCCAGGGTAAAATTAAAGTTCCTCCTCATGAGTTTCATGATCTATCAACTCCCTCCAACCCTCCCTCCTGATTTCCTTCCACTCTTCCCCTCACTTACCCATCTCTAGTAACAGATCTTCCTATTCCTAAAAGAAAATATTCTTCAGTACGAGTCTTCGCATATTTTTTTTTTTTTTTGTCTTGAATGTTTTTCCCCAAGATATCTCAGGTGTCTTAGCTCAAATATCCTGTTTATTGAAACTTTCCTGATTATTGTATAAAAATTATTCTTTTACCATGCTCTATTCCCTCTTACCAAAACATATTTTCCTCCATAACACTTATCATTATCAAACACATTATATATTTGTTGGTTTGTTTGTTGAGTTTCTCTTTTGTCTCACAGAATTTAATTTCTTTGAGGGCTGGGACTTTATTTCGTTTGCTGCTTTATCCCTGGTTATCTGGAATACTTTCTGACACATAATAAGCTCAAAGTAAGCATTTAGTGAGTAATAAGGTAATGTGATATGCTGAATGAAGACTGGTTGGGAGGCAGATCCAAAGAAAACACATTGCTTGCCATAAAAATGTGTATTAGCTCATTAAGGAACAGAAGGTATGCACATGACGAAATGGCTAAGAACCAGAAATAGTGTAAGATGAGCAGCATATAAGCCATACAGGCAAGTATTTTTGCAGGAATTCAAAGAAGAAAATCAGGACAATCTTTACAATAAAAAAAGGTATCTCTTCATTTCATATTACTTTCTAATAGCTTTGTCAGTGCTGCAAAATTTTAGTCAATATATTATCATAAATCATTCCTTTCCATATACACCATGACATCTTGATCATATCTTTGTCACACTGAACTGAAATTGCATTTTTGCGTTTCTTCCTAGAACTAGACCATCAAATATTTCATGGATAAGGACTGCATCTGACCCAACTTTTCTCAATATGGTCACATGTACTATAGACACTTTGTAATACTGAGGCTAACTCTAAATGGTGAAGACCATGAGATCACAGGATTGGGAAACCAACACATTTTCTTGTATCCTTTCTGTTAGGTACATTTGGAAAACTCATGAGTAAATTAAACATGTGATAATGCATTAAGGAGAACTAAGAGTATAGAAGAATTAAATCACAAACTGATGCCCAAATCCCTTTTCCTCATCATTTTTTTTTCACATATATGTTGTATACCTACACAAACACACACTAGACAAAATTCTAAAATAGGAAAACATGTTTTCTAATATCTCAGAACATCTGCAAAATAAACACAAATTAGGTAAAGAATGATTTAATTAGGAAAAGAATCAAGTTAAAAGAGGATAACATTTTACAACAAACTGTAAAGATACAAAATGCAGACAGATGCAAAGATAGAAAGAGAAGATTTTCAGAACTGTGTCCTGATTCTTATTTCCAAATATATTTCTTAACTTTAATTACCTCCATTCAACAGATACTTATGGAATTCATAGTTTGTGCTAAGAATTATTGTAGGCATAAAATATGGTGGTGATCATAACAGACACTATCCTGATAATCACATAGTTTATATTCTAGAGTAAAATTAAAAATAAACTATCTTAAGACATATGGTAATTTGGGAACATATAATATAATCACAGGATTGGAAAATAGAATTTGTAATTTAAGATAATAACAATTATAATTACCTCTCTACAGATATAATAAGACAAATATGAGTCTTTGAAGTCATTTTCAAGAAGGACCATATCAGGAAATCAGCAGCCAGTTATTGTGCATTACAATTATAATTAAAGTCAAAATTACAGGGAAAACCACATATTGCCATAATGATATTTATCTGTAAAACAAGGGAAAGATCTTTGGACAATGAGAAATATTACACTTTTTAAGTTGAGAGAAAAGTTTTCCCTGAGTATTTAGAGACTAAATAATGCAGAGTTCTGTCTGATAATAAGAAAAGGGAAATACAAGTGTTTTAAAGTTATTTCACGTTTGTCTGTATTCTTACGATTAATTAACAAACACTTGTTGACCAACTGTTGTGAAAACACTCTACTCTGCATTATCATGGGTTTTTAGGTCTTAGAAAATTCAGAGTTAGGTTTTCTGGCCTAAATGTACATTCTATTTCAGAAACCAGCATAAATATGTAAAAAATTCCAGATAAAATATAATATATAAGCTTACCGTGATGCCCTGTCCTAAAATAATCACCAGCACACTAGGAAGATAAAATAACAGGGTAGAAAACAAGGAGTCTAGGGCTAGGTTCTTGTCACGGTTCTGCATTGACCATGAACATTTCACAAAGTTACTTTTTCTCTTCAGGCCCCATTTTCCTCATATATAAATATGAATAAAAGTATAAATATATGCATGTAAAAACTACATCTATGTATTTAAGTAACAGAAGGCAGAATTTAGATAACCTTTAGAATCTCTTCTAGGTATGATCTTCTAAGGCTAAGATTTTATTTTTTAATTTCACATAAAAGGAATACAGTATCTCAATGTACAGTCCTATGTTAGCTGTTATGAAGATCTTCCTTTTCCTCTGTAGGTTTTGCTCACTTTAATTAGCTCTGTTTGTCTGATTCTAAAAATGATAAAGCATATGATTTTTCCCAGAGCGTGCTACTCATGGCTTTTATGTCACATTTCTTTTTAAACTACAGGACTTTACATTTATCCTATTAAATGTCAGCTTGTTAAACGGGATCATGGATCCTCACCGTTGACATTTTAAAAAATCATATATTACACAATGAAACTTTTTTGTGATATCCACAAATTTGATACGTAGGTTTTCTTCATCTTTATTCAAGCTAGTGACAAATGTGTTGAATTAGATCAAAGATTTACTTCTGACATACCACTGGAAACTTCCTTCTGAGGCAAACTATTTTCCTTTTTGTCATGCCTTAGTAATTTATAATTTATATATATCTAAGTATATAAATCTTAAGTGTACAGTTTGATGAACTTTTACATATGGAACACAACCATGTAACCACTACCTTGATCAAGATCTAGATCACTGATAGCATCACACAGGCTCCTCTGTGTCTTCTGGGAGTATCTCTTCTCTTCCCCAGTGGGCAGCTGCTATTTTGACTTCTAGTAGCTCAGATTAGTTTTAAATT